ACCGTAATTATTGCGCAATATTTCGGGCCGTAATAACTTACGTAAAATTACGTTAATATATTTCGCTGATGTAATAGTATTTATTAGTTTGTAAACTTTATTTTTTTGTTTTAATTTACCGATTAATAAATATTATATATATATATGAATTAGATAACAATAAAAATTTATGTTCTTGATTTTAGGCTATATAAAGTTAATTTTTTGGTTCTCATAATATAAAATTTTAAAGATGACCCGGCAACCTAGCTTTTAATTTTATTTTCAAAAAAATTTTATATATAAAAACTTATAAAATTTTTTTATAAAAATTTAAAAAGTTCATCTGAATAGTAAATATAGTCAAAAATTTTTTTCAAAATTTTACTAAATTTGACCCGGCCAGGTTATGAGAACCAATTAATTAAGTTTGTATAGCCTTATAGTTTTGGCTTATAAATTTTGGTTTACTTTAGTATATACTTTATTTAAAAAATATAAAAAATTATAAATTCTTAATCAGAATAATATTGAGAATTGCTTGTATATAGAACAAAATTACTATCTAAAAAAAGTGAATAGAGCCTCAACTCTGCTTTATTTTATTCTAACTAACTATCTTGCATTAGGTCTAATTTTTGCTCATTATTTTTTTTATACCCATGTATGTAAATAGAGCCCCAACTCTGCTCTATTCTATTCTAACCAACCAATTTTATATTAGATCTAATTTTTACTTCTGTTTTTTTTTTTTTTCTTTTTTTTTTAAATTTTTTTTGATATTCATAGATCTTTTTTTTATTAATTTTTTGGCTGAGCAAAGAGTATGTTTGGAGGCATTCTTTAACACTGTGTTCTTTCTTCCAACATTTTAAACAATTATCTCTCAAATGAGGTTGGATTTCAGAGCATTTATCAACTAAGTGTCTGCTTTTACAATAGAAGCATGTTCTTAAAGAAGTGGCACCAAGGGAATAGAAACTACTTTTGCAGTTTAATTCATTATTTGTGAGTTCTTCCTGAGAGGAGCCTGCTTTGGAAGATCCTGCTTTGTGAGATCCTACTTTGTGAGATCTTACTTTGTAAAATCCTACTTTGTTTTTATAAGAGCCTATTTCATTTTTATAAGAGCTTACTTCTTCTTGTTCTCCTAGTGGGATGCCTTGGTGCCTTGGGACAAGCTTTTTATGTTTTTTTTTTGAATAAAAAATAAACAAAATAAAATTCACCTTATATATTAGATCATATCCACTGAAAATTTCCCATAGGTGTAGTAAAGTAACGTGATCAAAACAAATATATCACAAAATAATATACAAAGGTGTAAATTCAATTTTTGGCTATTTTACGACAATTGCCAGAGTAACTTATTTATACAGTTTAAAGTAAGGTCTGCAAATGCACAAAATAACAAATATCCAATTTCTGTGCCCTGTGCTCGTGTTATGATTACCTATTAATCAATTAACCGATTAGTTGTTTAGTTGGCCTAATTTATGAATAAAAACTATTAATATAAAAGCAACTAGTCAGTTAATCGATCAATCGATTAGTTGGTTAATAGTTGGATCAAAGTTGTCAACTCAGCCAACTAAACGATTAATCGATTAGCTCGTGCCCATGCCTATGCTTAGATTTTTTGTTGGACACAGGCATGAGCCCGGGTTGCAGACCCTAGTTTAAATTATATATAATATAATCAACAATGTTTTTCGTTTTTTTTTTTCTTGCAAAAAATAAAAGTGATTATAAGTATGTAGTTTATATTGTAAACTTTATTTCGTTAATTACATGGGACCCCCACAGCAAAAGGGAGGATGGAACAAAAAAATTTTTTTTTAAAAAAAATTCGAAGAATTAGATTGATTAGAATAAAATTATCATAAAATTAAAACATCAAATTTTTTGGCCAATCCCCCCTTTGCTATGCCTATGTCATTTCGCCAAATACTTTCGTCGCTTATGAGTCACAAATTGAAGCTATAATAGCCAAATGTGAAAATAAGCAATGTTCGATCGTCTAAAAGTGACATTAAAATTAGGTTGGTATTTTAAATTTTAATTAATACCGATACAAATTCAGAATTTATTTAAAACTGTGTAGCAACGAAGATCTAATAAGCATATTATATCTATTGAAAAGTTTTCAACTTATCATTAGTAACGTTAACAACAATAGCCAACTTCTTGCCGACATTGAATATTTCAAGAAGGATACGAAAATCCGAATCTCTATCGATAGACAAGTTAGCGTCTTATCTATTTCACCAAATTTCATACAGTCAATGAATATTCA